ACGCCGACCGAACTTCAAACTGGCCTTCGAGCTCCACACCGACTGGAGTTACAATGGTTTGGGAGCGGTTCTGGCCCAACGGGACGCTGACGGAAGGGACTATGTGATCGCTTACGCGTCCCGGAGTAACAACCGGACCGAGCGGAACTACTTGTTGGATTTTGAGAGTCGTAGATCAGCCGAATTATATCGACGGTCAGAAATCGGACTTGAGTAAATCAGATTTGGACGGACGAGATTGAAAGGAAGCTTCTAGAGTAGAAATGTGGTAATAGAGGAAGGAGATATAGAAGAAGAGAATAATTGTAGGGAGTGCTTCTATGAGAGAAGGCGCTTGTGAGTGGTGAAGCCTATGAGAGAGGCACATGTGAAAGATCAAGATGGTGAAAGTGATACCGTGAGATGGTGCTTAGAGAGTATGTCCGTATGCGCGCGGCATGTCATCAGTTGGCATATGAGAAGCATGGCTGCCTTTGAGCCGAAAATTCAACAGGTTATGGGCCCACAAGGGGCAGCCTTTTGCTGAAAGAGCGAGGGTGACAGTGCTGAACAGAGGGTAGAGCTAAGAAACGTGAGGTTTCTTTGGTGCAAAACTGGGAAATTTCAGATTTCAGAATTCAGAATGTTGGAATACTGATTTGAAGAGCTTGTGAAAAGAGTGGTGATGGCGGGGATAGAGAAGATCTCAATTCCTCAGCTCGGAAAGGACAATTGGTCCATATGGAAGGCCAAGTTTCAGGCCTTGTTGGAGTATAAAGGTCTGATGGTTGGTGGCAATTGAGCAGCCGGACTCGGCGGAGGGCAGAAAACTGTCTGGGCAAGCAAAAGCCTTGATGATCTTGCACACGCAAGATGCATATGTGAAATTGATTGTGGGAGAAGCTACAGCAGCGAAAGCATGGAAAAAGTTGAAGGAGAACTTTGAGAAGATAAGTAATGCTAGGGTTGTGCAACTTACGGGGAGGTTGACAAATCTAAAGCTGGAAGAGAAAGAGAGCATCGCGGAGTATCTTGGAGACTTCCGCGAGATCAAGGCAGATTTGGAAGCGGCAGGACAGCCTGTGTCAGATTTGTAGCTTGCTGTGCATGCTCTCCAGGGACTGCCTAAAGAGTATGCAACCCTTCGGGAAATCATAGAAGCGGGAGAGAGTGAGTTGAGCTTAGATAGCATCCAACCCAAGCTCATGCAAAGAGAGCAAGCGCTGAAACTGCGTGAAGAAGAGAGAGGGGATCAGGAAATTAGCGTAGAAGAAGGGAGAGTTTCTGCTTTTAGTGCAAAGTCGGGAGGTTTTCAGAGAAGCTTGAACGTGATGGGCAGAAATACGGAGAGAAGAGCTTGCTTTGCGTGTGGAGAAGTTGGCCACATCAAAGTGAATTGCAGATTTCAGAACGCGGAGTGTCACAACTGTGGCAAGAGAGGGCACACAAAAGCGGTGTGCAAATCAGGCCCGAGAGAGCAGGCGGCCTTCGTTCGAGAGGTGAGAAATGGAGTCGCCTTTACGATGTGGCACGGGGCTGCTCGAGAGTGGCCAAAAGGCTGGATTGTAGACTCCGGAAGTACGATGCATGTGACAGCGGATAGGACGCAGTTGTCAAGCTACCGGAGGCTAGCAAAACCGGAAAGGATTGAGGGAATTGGCGGTGAACGTCTAGAAGTTGTTGGGATTGATGAGGTGAAGCTGAGATGCCAAACCAAAGAGGGGGTGCGGCTGATAACATTGAGAGACGTGAGACACGTTCCGGAAGCAAAGGCCAACTTGATGGCGTTGGGACGTGCAACGGACGCGGGGGCAGAAATCAGAATTCGGGGAAAGCGAGCCGAGTTCGCTTTCAATGGGGATGTGTGCATAGAAGCTCTCCAGGTTGACGGACTGTGGCATGTCTTAACGGTGACCACGGAGAAGAGCTTCAACCCCAAGGAGGTGCCGGTGAAAAACGGAGTGGCGAAGAAGCCAAGAGAAGCGCCGAGGATTGAAAAGACAAGGGTGGTCGAGATCGACCTCGATGACGAAGACGAAGAGAAGCTATCGGAGAGCACGGAGCCGGAGCAACCAGAATTACGAGCAAACGATAGGGGTATCAGAGATGAGCCATCCATCAAAGAGACACAAGCGACGAGGCCAACGGAGGGAGTGAAGACGAGAGCGCGGGTTCAAGCGAGCGGAAGCGTGGAAGCTAAAGAAAGTGTGGGAGCAGTCGGAGAAATAGACTTGAGAGGAGAGGCCGTATGGATAACGCCTAAGACCAAGAAGAGAGCAAGTCGTAGAGTAAATAATGGATAAGATAATTCGGCTGTGTGGGAGTGTTGGATTTTGAGAGTCGTAGATCAGCCGAATTATATCGACGGTCAGAATTCGGACTTGAGTAAATCAGATTTGGACGGACGAGATTGAAAGGAAGCTTCTAGAGTAGAAATGTGGTAATAGAGGAAGGAGATATAGAAGAAGAGAATAATTGTAGGGAGTGCTTCTATGAGAGAAGGCGCTTGTGAGTGGTGAAGCCTATGAGAGAGGCACATGTGAAAGATCAAGATGGTGAAAGTGATACCGTGAGATGGTGCTTAGAGAGTATGTCCGTATGCGCGCGGCATGTCATCAGTTGGCATATGAGAAGCATGGCTGCCTTTGAGCTGAAAATTCAACACTACTCGAGTTACCAAGGCGAGTGCCTGGCCGCTGTATGGGCAGTGCAGATCTTCCGCGTCTACCTCTATGGACGCCACTTCACGCTGATCACGGATCACGAGCCACTCAAGTGGTTGATGACCAACATGCGGCTCACGGGGATGCACGCCCGTTGGGCTATCATCCTCCAAGAGTACGACTTCGAGATCGCGCACCGCAGCGGGCTCAAGAACCTCGACGCGGACGGTCTCTCCCGCAATCCGCTGCCGTCAGATCATGATGGGACAGACGCCCGGCAGCACCACGATCCCAGCCCAGCCGCTGCAA